AGAAGCTCCTCTCACTGTTCTTCAATCACTGGCCTTCTGATAAATAAAGTTTGGAGGATCTATCCCTATCTCTGCATATTGGTTCACAATGACAGGTGGCTGGACCCTCTTCATCCAAGTAAGTTGTGTGAAATAAAATAAACTCTTAAGGTTCTCCCTAAGTTTTTACTGACTGGAACCCCTCTTGGCCAAGAGGACCCCAACCTGAGTCAGACATGCCTCATCATGCCCCTCCCATTCTTAGAGACATCCTTTATGACTCACTAATGTCGCAGGAAGGCAAAGCCCAATGGAGAGCCAGAGCACCCAAACACCATATTTAGGAGGAAAAGGCTTTTATTTCAGCCAGCAGAGCAAACAGCATAGAAAAATTAAAAATGGCCATGCTCCGTGCCTTGACTGACTTGGTCTTTCCCTTTTTAGTTCCAGTCAAAAAGTTCCAACCCAGAGGTGCCTTTCTCATAGGTCAGTTTGAATCAAGTAGGACAAGCTGTTCCAGGCCCACAGAACTGCAGGATTGCACAAAAGTGGAAATTTCCAGGTCTCAGGAAGTTAATTCTACAAATTCCTAAGAGCTGAGTCACCATGGAGAGGACCTGGCAGGTGGATCCTTGGGGTCTCCTTGACAAGACCTCTGTTCTCCTAGACCTCACCCCCCTTCCCAGGTATCCTTTCTCACTAACAGCCCTAAGGCTATTCAAGACCTACCTGCAGGTCCTCAATATATGTTCACACATTACAAACCATGTGAGTCTGCACAGTACTTTGTCTCTAATTAACAGACCCTTTATCATAAGCGTTCCTTTTCACTGAGTTCTGGTCTTTCACACAGAACTTCATTCTTTCAGCCAAGCATCAGCTAAAGAATCTTTAAACCCACCTATAACCTGTAAGCTCCCTACTTCCAGATGACCTGCCCTTCTGGGCCAAACTAATAATGTATGATTTATGACCTCACCTGTAATTCCCTGCCTCCCTAAAATGTATAAAACCAAACTGTCACCCCACCACCATGAGCCCATGTACTCAAGGCTTCCTGGGTATGGCTTTGGGTCATGGTCCTCAAATTTGGCTCAGAATAAACCTCTTTAAATTATTTTACAGAGGATGGCTTCTTTTCCCAAGACAGTTATTAAATAAAAAGAAAATGTAGCAAAACATTATGTACAACATAGAGCTTAAGTGTTTTTAAATAAATACCTTTTAGAATCAGAATGATATACCTTAAAATGTGACTGGTGATTATCCCTGAGTGATGTCATTATAGAAGATCTTGTAATCTGGTCTTTGAGCTAATTTCAATGACCTCTGTGTGTTTTTGTTGTTTTTTGTTTTTTGTTTTTGTTGTTGTTGTTTGTTTGTTTTGATAATCCTCTTCTTTAACTGTTTGACCTTTTGAGTTATTTCCCAGAAATGGTGGGTTTTCTGCAAGACAAGGAGCTGAGATTCTGAAGGCTCCTGGGCAGATTTCTTAACTCCAAGATTCACCCTTGCCCACTACCTGCTCACAATGTATGTGGTCCCCTGGTAGTTACAACACAAACTGCCCCAAGGCAAGTAGTCCCTCCCTTAAAGGCCCAAGATCTCCTGTCAGGGAGCAGGGAACAGATTTGAGGCAGATTCTCCTGTTCCCAACCAGATATCTTATGTATTAAATAATTCTCTTCTGCCTGGGCAATCCAATTTATCTCAATAATAGGATCTTTGTGTGGCGATCAACTGGCCCCTGGCTGAAACCCTCTCGCAGTTTTCTTGCAGAGGGAATGGCCTAAGACATTATGGAAAAAATACTTTCCATCTCCACAACTTTTTGGGAACTGAAACCTGCATCCTTGCCTCAGGCCAATGGTTGTGGGGAGGGAATGTCTCTGTTGTCTGTGCAACAGGAGATAGCTCAAGGGAATCCTCTGGGTGGAAGTCACAAGATCCTCTTAGCTGGAAGTGGGATAAATACAGGTAGAGGCCAGCAGATTGCCTTGACCCAAGAAGGGATAATGAGCTCTAAAAGCTCCATGCTTCTTTCTGGTCAGAAGGATGAATCTGGATTTTGAGACCATTATCTGCCATTTTCCTCCTTTGCTGGCAAAGTGATAAACTTTTCTTTACTTCTCCTCAAACTGCTTGTCCCCTTTTTCCTGATGTGGCTTCAGTGGACAAGGGCTGAATTTGTGGTAACAATTTGAACAACACAAGGATGTATGAGAAATATAATCTTAAAATCAGTAGGTCTATGTGTCATAAATCCCAAGATAACAAGGTGTAAATAATAAGTGACAGAAACCCAGATTCATGCTTAGTTGAGGTTTACTAAGACTTTGCCTTTGAGGATGTGCCTGGGAAGAGCACAGCCCGGAGAGCTGTCTGTTGTGGATGGAGCTCCTGACAGAAGAGGTCATGAACTTCATATTTAAAGAAAAAGGGATTACCCACAGGAAAGGGGAGGGGTGAAGGTGGTGATCCATGAGGAAACTGATGGTGTTCTTGAGAAGTTCTGCTTAGTGCTCGGTAAATCTACAAAATATCAAATAAACATTCTAAAAGAGGGGTAGAGGAAATAATCAATGTAGTGATCTCAGGTGGGTAAGAGTGATTGTATCTCTTCCCTACTTTGCATCTGATGGGAGATAAACTTGGACATGACATCTGAATGTTTAGGCTAGGGTCCTAAGATTGTAATTGACATGCACTCTTATTATAAATAAGAGCACTATATATTAAAGAGATGGTTTTTGTTTGTTTCTTTGTTTGTTTGTTTTTAGGGCTGAAGGAAACAACAATTATTTTACCCCCAAATGCACTTCCTTGACATATTTTGAGATGGCTGCAGGCTGGGGCTAGAGCGATTCACATTTATAGACCTCTGTCACATGCAGCCAGACCCTGCCTACTTGACCTGGGTCAGGTTTGCTAAGAATCTGATATCGTCAAAGGTTGAAATAAAAACATGAGGGTTATTATCCTGACGGTTATTATCCTGAGGCTTATCTGCATAACAAGACCACCTTGCCAGCAAAACTTCCTTTCTCCCCTCATACCTACAAAAATCCAGTGTGGTCATGGTCTAAGTGCCTGCACTTCTTAAAAGAGGACCCAGTACTCTGCTTGGGAGAGAGGATGGCTGTGCTTGTGCCACTCAGTTTTCAGGCTCAGTTCTTTCTTTTAGTGTAGTGGATTGAGGGGTGGGGGAGTCCTGAGATTTTTATTTTTCCTTTACAAAGAAAACTAGCAAGTGAGTCTATCAAAGCTTTATGATTTATTCAGAACACTAGCACTATTTTTGTTTTTGAGACTGTTTCACTGTGTCACCCAGGCTGGAATGCAGTGGTGCTAATGTAGCTGCTCCATCTCCAGGGCTCAAGCAATGATCCTGCTTCAGCCTTTCAAAGTACTGGGATTACAGGCATAAGCCACACTGTCTAGCCCAAACATTCACACTGAATGTTGCACAGAGAGAAGAGCTCTCA